CCCCGCCCCACCTGGCGGCCCCACAAGAGCCCCGCCCCCGCCTCGGGTGGGCTCACCACCCCGGCGAGAGAGGCCCAGGCCGGCCAGACCACGCCCGCCCCCATTGCGCAGATGGGGAAACTGAGGCCCCACAGCAGGCGGGTTCCTTCCAGGCCGGGCAGTGAGTCAGCTAGAACGCGGAGTTGACGCAGACCCGCCTCCGAGCTGCGATACCCGCAGCCGCCTCGGTGAATCCTCAGGCCCTCCACGAGTCCTTCTCGCACCAGGGCTCCTGGCCACTGGGGACCTGAGCCAGGCAGCCAGGAGACAGAAGGCCACCTGGGGCAGTGGGTAGGGCCCCTTTGCTAGCTCTGAGCCCCCGGGACTGAAAGCTAACTATGGGCAATCCCCAGGCATAGGGGCTGAAGCTGACCTCTGTCTGCAGACACGGAGCCAGCATCCTGAGTCCCCCAGGCCCGGAGACCCAGTATCCCTTCAGAACCATGCGACTGAGTCCATCTAGGACCCAGGTGTGAAACCAAGCTCCCTCTAACACAGTATGTTAGGTCTGGGGGGGCCTGTCCCTGCTCACACCTGGCACTCCCCAGGACCCAGCACCCCCACCACATGGTCTTGGTCACTGCTCTGTTGAAGACAGAGCACTCCTGCTGGAATGGACAGGCCCCCAGGGCCTCACCTGGGCTGGTCACCTCTCCTCTCCCATTTCAGAATGTGTAAGGTGAGGTAAAGCAGCCCTGGGAACTCTGTTACTGGTAGGTCATTTCCACACCATGATTGGTGTATGAGGTACTGGGCCTGCCCCCAGCCCAAGCCTAAGCCCAGGGCCCTGTTCACTTCACCCATGTGCACATCTGTGTAAGATGTCCGTACCACCCAAGAGTACCCAGGCCTGCTGGTACTCACCTGGTGAGGGGGAACTCGTCATACCCTGGACACTGGTGACAGCTGGTCCACTGACTGGTGGGGGCCACCTGTGCCTCCTCTGTGCTGGGGGCTGCTGGTCAGAGACGGGAGTGCATTAGAGCCTTTGCAGTTCCCAGGCAACCTGACAAGAGCTGGGAAGGGAACTAGGACCCAACCTTTGATGCTGCTATGGGACCTCTGCCTGCATGGGCCTACAGACCTCTGTCCTGCCCCCTGAATCTGGTTATGTCCCGAGTGGAACTGGCCTCTGTTCCAGTCTGCAAATGGGGCTGTTTCCTCCAGCCCCAGGATCCCTGGAGATGGGAGTACTGTAGAGAGTAGAGCTGAAGATTCCCACACAGCCCAAGGGGACCAGGCCAGAGACCAGCTGCTCAGGCTGCCTTGGTACACAGGAGCTGAAGGACAGGAGGGGTCCCGGTATCTGGAGAGGAGCCCCCAGAACAAGGCCTTCCCTTCCTAGTCCCTTTCCCAGATGAGGGGCCACTTGAAGTTCCTGGAAGCTGTTGCTAAGATGCTCCTAATTGGGAATGGGGCTTTCTAGCTATCCTGACCCTCTAAGCCCGAGCAAGGCAGCTTTCACTCAGTCCCGGGCAATAAAGAGTTAAGAGTGGGGCCTAGAGGGCTCTGGGTGGGACAGACCCTGCAGTCACTTGACCCTTCAACCTGCCTGGCCCCTCCCGCCTGAGTCCAGATAGAAGCTTTGGGCAGAAGGTCTGGTCCTCTCTGTCCTAACCTAGCTGAGACCCCACCTTCTGCTTTCTCACCTGAAAAATGGGTGTTCTCAGGTAGACTCCTTGGGAGTCGCACGTGGATATCTGAGACAGAAGGTGGGGCCACTGGGCCCCACAGTGGTTTTAGGGACTTTGAGGGCTTTGGGAGGGGGCTTCCACTATCTGGGTAGATACGGAGAGGAGAATGAGGCTTCCCCAAGGCCCCAGGCAGGTCAGCAGAGTCACCCACCAGGCTGTCCCCAAGCCTAAGCCCTCGAGGCCAGCCCCGCAGGAGATGGGGGCTCCTGGCTGGTGTCAGGGCTCCCTTGGTCCTGGGTACAGATCTGGCTGTGGGATGACCCCCAGGGCTGATTCCCTGGCCAGCCATCTCCTGCAACCCCAAGCCCTTGGGATGGCAGGTCTCCACAGGAGAGGAGTTGGGGACACTGACGCCCTCCTACTTGGCCCAGCCGAGCTGAGCTTAGCTGCCAGCTGGGGCTGCTCTGGAGACACAGGGCCAGCCTGGTTCTGCTTCTCTTTCCAAGGGTGTTGGGACCTTGGGCAGCCAGGGGTTACCAGGCAGACTGGAACACCACCAGGCACTGCTTGGCCAAGGGGCCCGTATGGCTTCTCTGCTCAGTGGGAATGGCACCAGTAGGGAGGCCGGGAACCCACTCCACAGCTGGGGCAGCCATCAGGAGCCCTGGGCACTCAGCCCACTCTGCCCACTCATTGCCCCTCCAAGAAAACCCCTGCCATACCTGATACTGCCCCAGCCTGGGCTTGGCCATGGCCACCACAGCTGCTTCCTCAGGCCAGGGACAGATGCTGTCCCTTGCTGGCCCCTTGGGTCCACTGGCTACCCCGAGGCACCTCCAAAGGCCCACCCTACTGGCCTGTTGGCTGGAGCCTCCCTCTCGGCCTTGAGGGGCAGCTGGCTTGGTGCAGGGAGGCTCCACCGGGGCAAGGAAGGGTGGCTTTTTATGCTCCGTCCTGTGTAAATCGGGATTGGGATGGGCCCTTCCCAGCCGGACTTCCTGTGTGTGTTCTCCGCTGATAACGGGGGTCTGTCAGTGAACAAACAGGAGGCTGAGGGGGGGTGGGAGCCACCACAGATGTGGGGGGGCCTGGACATGCTGCTGGGAGAGGGGAAAGCTGTCCCCAAGGACAGACAGGGACCAGGCTTGGGCTCAGTTACAGCCAGGCTAGCGACCCTGGGGGCAGTGTGAGACCTGAGGATGGGGAGCATAGGGCCTTCCCAGTGCAGAGGGGGCAGATCTATGGGTCCACAAGCCACATTTGTGTGGCTAGACAAAAGGGACCTTCTGCATCTTTGGGTACAAGATCTGGAGACCCCAGGCCACCCTGATGTGTGTAGTGCAGTGAGGGAGCCCCAAGGGGCTCTGCGCAAGGGAAGGACCTGCTGCCCTGGGGCCCTGGCCGGTGGTGGGTAGGGCATGGCAGAACTCAGCTGGCAGGGACCTGGGGAGGGCAAGATGGGCTGGGTGGTCTCAAAACAGCCTGTTCTGTGGGTCCCCGAGGCCCAGGGATGGCCTGGTGGTGAAAGGAAGGGCAGATATCAGCTCAGAGACTGGCCTTTTCTAGAATGGTGACCCATCTGCCTGCCCTTGGAAAGAGCTGCCGAAGGGCCCGGAAGACCCTCAGCCCCACTTCACAGGGGTGTCTGGGGGGCTCTGTGCTTCCGTCCCTTCACCCCACCATCAGGCTCCTCCCTTGGTCTCCAGCAGGTTGTGCGGTGAAGGATTCGGGAGACTTTAAGTTGCCCAAAGGGGTGGTCTGTCAGATTCCTGTGTCCCAGCCTCCAGGTCCAAAACTCAGCCTCCCATTTAGGTGGCAGTGGGTGCATCAGGCCAAGTGGGCAGTGCTGGGACGGTGGGGAGTGGGAGGGACACAGCTGGCTTAGGGCACTGAGTGAGTGGGGTTTCATCCAACCCTAGCTGTCCTCGGGTTCAAGCCCTGCTTGGGAGTCAGTCCCTCTCTGCCTGATGCCTGGACGCCCTCATTTTCTTGGCCCTGAGCCTCTCAGTGTGCCCCGCCTCTGTCCGGCCCCACCCAGCTGTCTGACCGGGGATAAGGGGGGCCAGGGCAGCTTGGGAAATTCCCCACTGGACTGCTAGGAGCAGGACCAGCTCCCCTCCCACCGCATGGTCAGGGGAAGGGTTGCTGCAGGCAACTACTTACGATGGTGCCCCTTCTCTCCTCCAGGCCTCAGTTTCCCTACCTATTCTATGGCTGGCATGATGGCACTCAACCTATCTGAGTGGGAAGTGTCTGGGGGTCTCTTTCTGGAGGTGTCCCCTGTCCCCAGTCCTGAGGTTAGAGCTGAAAGACAGGCTGAGGCTCCCTTCCTCCCATCTCTAGCCATCCATTGGATCTGGTCCTCATCCCCACTGGCCATGCTGAGGGCACCCCATGCCTCACTGGGCCCCTGATCCCCCACACAAGGCCTCAACCTGCCCAGAAGGACTGGGCTGTCCCTCCCACATACTGGAGCCAAGTTGGGCCTGGCTCCTGGGGGTGTGCCCTCTGCCCCTCTCCTCCCCAGACCTCATGCCCAGGGATCTGCTCTGGCACCTGGGTGGAAGAACCTGTGAATGTCATCGGTGGCTAGATCCTGCCCCTTGGTGTAAGGGGTAAACTGAGGCCCAAAGAGCAAAGGCACCTGGCCTAAGCAAGCAGAGAGGTGGGGGAGCGGCAAGC